TAAATAAATAAATAAATAAATAAAAGGATGATGTTAGATATCAATTTGATACGGTGTTTAAATATTACTGAATACATTTAAAAAATGATAGGACTTTTATTTTTAAATATCAGTATTCATGATACACATTACATTCTTTGCTACTGTTTAAACTTATGATGAAACATTTACATGTCCACCTAAATATGAATGAAGTGATCATCAGTTTTCAAGATTCTTTTAGGGCAAGGCTTTCCAGCCTTGGCAGCACTGGCATTTGGGGCTGGATAAGTCTTTGCTGTGAGAGACTGCGCTATGCATGGATGTTTAGCCGCCTCCCTGTTCTCTTCCCAATAATGCCAGTAGCATTTTCCCCCCAGTTGTGACAACCAAAAGTGTCTTCAGAGATTGCCAAATGTCCCTGGAGGGCAAAATCACCCCCCAGTTAAGAACCACTGTTTTAGGGGTGTTTGAGCAGGAAAGGCATAAAGACCACAAGCTAGACTTATATGAAAAGCAATAAAGCATAATCCTTAGGAACTTGACTCTTAGTACATCTGGCTCTGGTCTTACTTGGTTTGGGCAAGATAGCTAATTTCTCTAAGCTTATCTGTTCATTGGTAAATGGGAATACATTTTATTAGCGCCTCGGAGAATAGTTGTGAGCCTTAGGTAAGAATATCCATGAGAGGGGCGCCTGGGTGGCTCAGTCGTTAAGTATCTGCCTTCGGCTCATGTCATGATCCCAGGGTCCTGGGATCGAGCCCCGCATCGGGCTCCCTGCTCAGTGGGAAGCCTGCTTCTCCCTCTCCCACTCCCCCTGCTTGTGTTCCCTCTCTCGCTGTGTCTCTCTCTGTCAAATCTTTAAAAAAAAAAAAAATATCCATGAGAGAGCCTTAGTAGAGCCTGAAACATAGGAATCTGTTAATAAAGCTTAAGCATTATGAAAATAGATATTCCTAACACTTCAGTGTGTACTTCCTGGCAGAGGCTTCTTGTCTATTGCATCAGTTGCCTGAACTTCTCTGACCAATATTCAGATGTTTTGTAATCTGTCCTCCCACTACCTAGCTAACCTCATGTTCCAGTAAGAAAGACACCAGACTTACAATTACGTGATCTAATTTCTTGTCTGAGTCTAGTTCCATGTTCTGTCACCAAAGAACTGTGTGTGGTGTGAGCCGCTCTGCTATCTCCTGGTGTGTGTGTGTGTGTGTGTGTGTGTGTGTGTGTTGAGGGGAGATGTAGTGAGACTTGGTAATCTCAAATCGTCTCTTACACTTCAGAGAAAGGAGAAGGGGAAAAGGACAATGAAGAAGGAAGGATTATTCTGTAGACCTTGGCATGAAATTCTTTTCTAGGGAGACAGGACTCTCTTGCAGGCCATCCTCCCCCTGCTTTTCTCTGTACTGCCCCCTGCCCCTCTCTGCCAGTGCAGATTCCACCTCTCCTCCTCAACTGGCTCCGCTCACCCAGCCCACGCAGCTGTCTCTCACTTTTCTGAACTTTAGTACTTAGGGTCTATGCCATGCAGTTTAGCAATTATGTCAACTAAAAACAAAACAGCCAGTTATTTTACCAGCGAAATGTGTCCATTCCAGAATAGTTGAGGAATTGCGAGGGAGGACATGCAAGCTATGGTAAACTATATGCAAGTCTGAGGAGACAAAGGGAAGGTCAGCTTTTATCAAGTTTTAGGAGGAAATTGGAGAGGATTGTTTTGAACAAACGTTTTTAAATTTTTTTTAAGATTTTATTTATTTGAGAGAGAGGGCATGAGAGCGAGAGCGGGGTGAGGGCAGAGGGAGAAGCAGACTCTCCGCTGAGCAGGGAGCTCCATGTGGGGCTCCAGTGAGTCCCAGGATCATGACCTGAGCCGAAGACAGACGTTTAACCAATTGAGCTACCAAGGCGCCCTGAACAAAAGTTTTTTAGAGGACATGTTTGAGGTTGGGGTGGTTTCTCATTGGCTACAAGTGGGGCTTAGTGCAATGTTTCTTTCTTTAAAAAAAAAAAATATATATATATATATATATTTTAAAGATTTTATTTATTTATTTGAGAGAGAGAATGAGAGAGAGAGAGCATGAGAGGGGGGAGGGTCAGAGGGAGAAGCAGGCTCCCTGCCGAGCAGGGAGCCCGATGTGGGACTCGATCCTGGGACTCTGGGATCATGACCTGAGCCGAAGGCAGTCGCTTAACCAACTGAGCCACCCAGGCGCCCATAAAAAAAATATTTTTATTTATTTACATAATCTATACACCCAACGTGGGGCTCCAACTCATGACCCTGAGGACAAGAGTCGCATGTTCTACTGACTGAGCCAGCCAGGGGCACTGCCTTCTTTTTCTTAAAAGCAGGAAATAAAATTCCTATGTGAAAACTGCCTGTCCTTGTCAAGATAAGAATTCTCTTTCTTCCTGCTGGTTATGGAGGCTGAGAGGAATGGTATGAGCGTGAGTGCTCTCCCTTCAGCGCTTCCTGGCTCCATTTTAAGTGAAGCTTCCTTTCCTCGTTTTCACAATTATGTATTATCAGGGCACATTGGTCTCTCCACTCATTTCTTGTGTCCCTCGTGTGGCCCCATTGAGATAATGACTTCTTTAGGGCAGAGGGTCCCTCGCATCCCGTTTCAGGATGTTTGTGTGACACTCGAACTGCATCACACAACGTTGAACAAATACTGGCTAAACAGTTAGGTGTCCAGGTCATTATATTTTAGTGTGTGCTCCATATTAGGTGTGTGTCCTAGAAAAGTTTCTCTGGAAATGATGGGGTTCAAGAATAAATAGCCCTTCCAAGTTATACAAGCGTAATTAGGCAGGGCTATGTCCTGGAAATTCCCCCAGTCATTTCCTCTCTAATGTGCCCTTCTGTGATGAAGAGTGACGGGAAGGACTGGGAACATTTGATACCCGAACTACTCTTGTTCATGTACTTTTATAGACTCTAAGAGTGCTCTCCTAGGTAATTCCCTCAATTGTGGTTCATTAACAGCCGTTAACAATCCCCTTCTGGCCTTAATTAATTACCTTGCCTTGGCATTGAAGAGGGAGAATGGCTGTCAAGGGCATTATTTGCTCAATTACCCAAAAGCCATAGATGATGTGTAGTAATGAGTTGGAAGACAGAACACCCAGCCCTTCTCCAATCCCATAGCTGTAAAACCTTGTTCTGCCCTTTAGGGTATATAACATCAGCCTTTTGAAAGAGCTTGCATTCAGGGCAACCCTAAATGCAGTAAGAGGATGTAATATCTTCATTTTCCCTCAAGCAGAAACACTAAAATTCCCCCATTAATGATAAGGCTCAGCTTTTTAGATAATTCAAGGACCAAACGCTGAGGCCTCTTGCTTTTCTTTCATTGTCTACTCTTCCTCATTGCCAGCTTTTTGGTCATTTCATAGCTACTTCATATCTGACTTCGTTCCTAGATCAGTTATACCCTCTATGGTATAATTAGACTTCCAATTGGAGGGGCTTCTGTTATAAAACTATGTTTTACTTTTGTTTGCTTTAAAAATCATGTTCTGCTAGGCTTGGGTTTATAACTATAAAAGGAATGCTTTCTTCTTTTTTTAAAGAAAGAAGTAATCTTCATCAGGAAAGAGAAAAAGCTGACCCTATTTGAGATCGTTGCTAAGGAGATACTTGGCGTCATGTCGGAAATAACAAATCTTCAGGGGGTAAAGAGCTAAGGTGAAGAGAAGCTAGAGGCCAAGTGTCTCTTCTCTAATAGGAAAAAAGAGATCATGGCCTTTCCTGTTGATATGCTTGTTTATATGCCAGAGATCTTTCTCTTTTTACTTGAACAAAGAAAATGGAAAGCAAAGCTTTTTTTTTATTAAATCACAAGTTGTCCATAGTTTGTGACTTCCTTCTACCCACCTATAACAGATTTTGAAATGACATTGGCTTGGGGTCCCAAAATTATTTCAGTTCTAGGGTCAGTGGGGGTGGGAGGGTAGGGCTGGATTCAGCAGTGGTTGATAGCCCACTTTAAAATTCACTCTACTTGAGGGGTCCCTGGCTGGCTCAGTCAGTGAAGCATGCCATTCTTGATCTCAGGGTCTTGACCTAAGGGTCGTGAGTGCAAGCTCCATGTTGGGTGTGGAGATTACTTAAAAATAAAATCTTAAAAAAAAAAAAGAAAGAAAAAGAAAAGAAATGCACACTACCTGAAATGTTCTGAGTATAGGGCCACCTGGGTGGCTCAGTCGTTAAGCGTCTGCCTTCGGCTCAGGTCATGATCTCAGGGTCCTGGGATCGAGCCCCCCATCAGGCTCCCTGCTCAGCGGGAAGCCTGCTTCTCCCTCCTCCACTCCCCCTGCTTGTGTTCCCTCTCTTGCTGTCTCTCTCTATGGCTATAGATGAAGCTCTATAAAATCTATAATCTGTAAAATCTCATGAACAACAAGAGTTGATGAGCTTCCACGTTGGTGTATACACCCACATGCAGGAGGGTGGCACACCCCAGTTCCCCAGGATTAGAAATTCCTGCACTTGGGGTCCCTCCAGAGCTCACCCCCTGTACCTCTTCATTTGGCTGTTTATCTGTATTTTTTATAATATCCTTTATAATAAACTGGTAAAAGTAAGAAGCACAGATAGCAACCTAGCCTTGCGAATGGCATTCGAAGTGGGGACAGTCTTGCGAGGCCAAGCCCTTAACCTGTGGCGTCAGGTAGTAGGGTCAGAACTGAGTTAAATTATAAGACACCCAGTCAGTGTCTGCTGAGAATTGGAAGTTGCTTGGTGTTGAAAAACACACACCTGACCCACTAACCAATCCCATTTGGCCATTTAGGCCAAAAGGGCTCATCATAAGGGTTCCCCCATCCTTCGTCAGTCATGGTTTGGCACAGTCCTTCTTGAAGATCTTTCTAGATGAATTTGGAACCTATCGAAGTTCCTCTAGTTCTGATGACTTCATGGTTTCATCCCTACATTTAATTATCTGCAGCCTATAAATGCTATTAACAATGAAAGCTAAATAATACTTTTTGCATTACTTCTTTTCAAATTTCTGATCCCTGTAGATCACTTTTCTGTATCAGAGGAAACGACGTTGACACTCTCACGGAAAGAATGAAATGTCACCAGGAGCACCAGCTGCCACCCCGTGAGGAGAATGAGTGCTGATCCACTGGCTGGCATCAAGGCATCAGCCTGGAAGGCTTGCATGGGTCTCCCTCATTTGAGGCTGTAATGAAAACAGACAGACTTTCTGACTTCAGTAAGCATTTGACATCCAAGCAACTTGACTGTAGTATTTTGAAGTGGTTTCAGTCTTCCAGTTCATATTTTATTATAGCTCAGCATGTGGCTTGCTTCTGACACAACCCTGTGTCTACCTCATCCAGATTTTCCTTGTAAATCCACCTATTTGCAACTTGCAAAATGATCAGATCTTGTCTTAGTGTGTTCAGGCTACTATAACAAAAATATCATAAAAATATTCACTGACATTTATTTCTCACAGTCTGGAGGCTGGGAAATCCAAGATCAAGGTGCTGGCAGAGTGGGTGTCTGGTGAGTCCAATTCTTGGTTCATAAATGACTGCCTTCTTGCTCTGTCCTCACATGACAGAGAGCTGGATGGGGAGGCAGCAGTATTATGGACTGAATTGTTTCTCCCCAAAATTCATATGTTGAAGCTCTAAACCCTAGGGCCTCGGAATGTGACTGTTTCTGGAGATAAAGCCTTTAAAGAGGTAAGGAGATTAAGATGAGGACTTTACAGGTGGGCCCTAATCCAATCTGACTGGTGTCCTTATAGGACACAGAGATTAGGACACAGAGAGACACTAGGGTTGCACGGACCCAAAGGAATGACCTTGTGAGGATGCAATGAGAAGGAGTTTATCTCAAAACAAGGAGAGAAGACTCAGAGGAGACAACCCTGCTGACACCTTGATCTTGGACATCCAGCCTCGAGAACCGTGAGAAAATACATTTCTGTGGTTTAAGCCACCCTGCCCGTGGTACTTTGAGATGGTGGCCCTAGCACACCCATGCAGACGGTAATACACAATTGTTAATAAGCAGTCAAACAAGCACAATAAGAAGACTTCTTTCCGAGGCTACAGCGTGAGCCAGAAATAGAATCGCCCAGTGATTTTGCAGTCTCACCCTTGTTTGCAGGGTCTTTGGAGGGAAAGAGCATCCCCCCCCTGAGAAACTGAAGTGGGCCGCTTCCTGATCTGGATTACTGACGATACCCAGGGGCCTAGTGGTGAATTACTGCCCATAGTCCTGGTTTTCACCAGCTGTAGATCAATTACTGTCCATTAATTCTTCTGACTTACCAATTCGACTTTGAAATGTGTCTTGGTTTATGTGAGAAGTTACATGGTCATCATTTATAGGTAAAATTGGGGTAGTGTGCCTCTCTACAAGAAATCTCTTTCAGGTGGGATCAGAAGACCAAGCAACAGTTTCCCAGGATGATTTGCTGAGGGAGAAAAGGAGTCAAATGTCAGTGGCCCTGTGGCAGGCTCATACCAAAAAACAAAGAAGCAAGCAAGCAAATAAAAAGCAAGATTTAACATATTATTATAGTCTTTGTACCACACACACCATCAGCCTAGAAACCCTCCACTGCCTCACATGTCTTCCTCCATATTCTTTCAGAGTTTCTAAAGGATTTTAGCTTTTGTGAATTCTCCCATTAAGCCTGCTTTTTAAAGGAATTCACTTTTATGTAGTGCCATCTGCATAAATACATATGGGCCTAGGGAGGCGATCCCACAGTATAATAGACCTTCTCCCCTCCATTTCCTGCCTCTGCACAGAGTGAAGAAGGGTATTTCCCCTTCTCCCAAGTAAACTTGCTGACAGGCAGAGCTAGATACAAAATGAAATTTTAAAAGAACAGCTGTAAAGAGAGTAGTTCCTAAGCAGCGTTCTTACCACAAACACACACACACAGTAATTATGTGAGGTGATAGATGCGTTAACTAACCTTAGTGTCGGTAGTCATTCCGCAGTATAGACATGCATCAAATCATCACAGTGTTCACACCTTACACAATGATGTATGTCAATTATGTCACAAAAGCTGGACAAATAAAAGAACAGTTCTAATGAGGAAATGGTCAGCAAGCAACAGTAGCTCAAGGAAAAATACAATCTTTATATGAAATAACAGGAATCTAGGGAAGTGGCCTCCTAGATGCTATTTTTATTTTCAGCATTTCAGGTTAACACAGATTGAGTTAATGATGTTTTTCTATAGCTCCCAGGCAACTCAGAAATGGCAGGGCTCAGACTAACAGAGAAGCACTTCCTGCAGATTTGGAAGGGATGAGAAGCCAGGCCTGGTGTTTGTGCTGCATCCCCAAGCTGCAGATATAGAGGAAAGGAGTATTATATCAGGGATTTTTCTCTTGCACCCTAGGCACATGGCAATTTTCACAGGTCCCCTCCTTATCAGTTTCACCAGTTTGAATCAACTGCTTCAATTTCAGTGGCTAACAGGCTTTTCTTTTTTTTTAATTGAAGTAACCCCAGAGGTTCAATGATGGAAAATGAGCCACATTAGAGTAGGGAATCATTTAAGAATCCTGCATTCCATTTTAACCCTGGTGTTTATGTTTTCCATGGGAGAGATTAAAAAATGTATAGGTTCAGAAAAAGGAAATTTCTGAAACCCTAAAGGGAATGTGCGAGATGTTTCCTGCTGCTAAAGGACCATTAAAGACCAAAAACTCCACTCAAAGGGAGGTCCACTTTTTGGACGACTGGTGATTGCTCTTTGTAGATGTCACGTCAACCTATTTAAGTCAATAAAGATCAGTAGGGACATTTTGAAGTTCCTGCTTTACCTTCTTCTTTAGAAACAGTTTCTCAACGTAGGCCTCTTAAGGAAATGTGTATTTTCTCAACATTATTTAATTATTCAAAAACCTGACTCATGAATGCGGCATGAGCTTCAACAAGTGGGGTGTGTGTCTGTGCGAGTATGCATGCTCATGTGCATGTGTATATATTTTCACATGCACCCTTTGGTCAACTGTCTAAGCTTTCTGGGTAATTGCATTGGGTCATAGCATGCAGACTATAAGCTCCAAGAGAACTGCTGCTAGATCTATTAATGTTCAACTCTATCACTACGTGGTCCTCAAAACATAAGCATATTGGAGGGTGCCTGGGTGGCTCAGTTGGTTAAGCGACTGCTTTCGGCTCAGGTCATGATCCTGGAGTCCCAGGATCGAGTCCCGCATCTGGCTCCCTGCTCGGCAGGGAGTCTGCTTCTCCCTCTGACCTTCCTCCCTCTCATGCTCTCTGTCTCTCATTCTCTCTCTCTAATATAAATAAATAAAATCTTTAAAAAAAACAAAAAACAAAAAAACATAAGCATATTGGAGATGGTGAAAGGGTTGAGCACCTTTCCTGAGAAAGGAAATGGAATTTTTTAGTTCTTCGTACCATATTATAATCCATTCAAGCCAATTCACATTGTCATGTTTTGTTATTATATTCAGATATTATGCTATTTATATTAGAGAGTTTTTTGTGAAGAAAAGCATTCAAGGTAAATAATATAAATACTTTTAGGCTGATACGACCTATAAAAGCAGAAGTCCTAAATGTTTAATCTTCCTATCAAGCCCTTGGCCTCCGGACAGTATCTATTCCATGTCAAGTATATTGTGTACTGTGCTTTTATGGATTTTTTTATTATGACAAAAGCACATAACATAAAATTTACCACGTTAACTATTTTTAATTGTACAGGTTAGTAGTGTTAAGTATATTTGCATTGATCTCCAGAACTTTTTCATATTACAGAACTGAAACTCTATATCCATTAAACAACTCCCCCTTTTCTCCTTTTCTTAGCTCCTGGTAATCACCATTGTTCTTTCTGTTTCTTTTTTCTTTCTTTTAAAGATTTTACTTATTTATTTGTCAGAAAGAGAGCACAAGCAGGGGGAGCGGCAGGCAGAGTGGGAGGGAGAAGCAGGCTCTCCACTGAGCAAGGAACCCGATGCGGGGCTCGATCCCAGGACTCTGGGACCATGACCTGAGCCAAAGGCAGACGCTTAACGACGGAGCCACCCAGGTGCCCCGACATTTGCCTTGCTTTCACTTGGCTATTGTGAACAATGCTGCTATGAATATGGGTGTGCAGATATCTCTTCAAGACCCTGCTTTCAATCTTTTTGGATATATATACCCAGAAGTGGGATTGCTGGTAGTTGTATTTTTATTTAAAAAATAAAACAAAATACCACACTGTTTTCCATAGTGGTTGAGCCTTTTTGAGGTCCCACCAGTAGTGCACAAGGGTTTCGATTTCTCCACATTCTCACCAACACTTACTAGTTTCTGTTTTTCTGATAGGTGTCCTAATGGATATGAATCTTACTGATTTTTCTTTTTTTTTAAGATTTTATTTATTTATTTATTTATTTATTTATTTATTTATTTACAGGTGGGGGTCAGAGAGAGAGGGAGAGAGAGATCGGAAGCAGACTCTGTGCTGAGTGCAGAGCTTGACACAAGATCAATCCCATGAAGCTGAGATAATGACCTGAGCAAAAATCAAGACTCAGACACTCAGCCAACTGAGCCACCCAGGCACCCCAGATCTTACTGATTTTGAACTAACAGGCTACACAACTTCTATTAGGGTCTGTTTCCCTGTCCTCTAATGTTCACTATTGAAATAATTTATGTTTGTTCATTCATTCACTCAGTCTTTGTTTAGCACCTACATTGTGCTAGGGATAAGGGGATATAAAGACTTTTTAAAAAGGCTTCTTGCATGCCATCAGAGAGCTAATAGTTTCATTAAGGACAGACCTGTAAATACATAATCAGTACATTACATTTACATCACATAAGTGAGTGGTAAGTGTCAAAATGCATTCAGGTAAAATGTGAGAGAGCACTAAGGAGGGAGTACTTAAGTACTGCCTGGGGAGAGAACCCCAAGGAAGTGATGGTTGAGCTGATTCTTAAAGCATAAAGTTCTTAAGGCAGAGAAGGAGAAAGGGGAGGTCCAGGGTTTTGCATGTGTAAAGGTACAAAGGGATGGAAGAACATTCCAGTTTAGGAAACCACAGGATATTTCTCATGGAGATGGTCAGAGTATAGAATGTGCAGTGGAGTGTGACAAAGGCACAAAGGAGTGTGACAAAGCAAATAGTAGAGTTGATGCTAACATGTAGGCAAGAGCAAAATATGAAGGATTGGTATGCCATGTTCTAGAAGAAGGTGTTAATTCCATGATCAGGGAAGTGAGATGAATGGGTCGGGGGAGAGGTGGAGAGGACAAGACTGATGATAAGGAGGACAACTGGGAAATTTAAATTGTCCTGAATACAGGTTGAATGAAATAGGGATGTTAGTGTAGGCCAGATTCAAAAGATACTTAAGAGTTGAATATGAACTCTGGTGAATGTGAACTTGGGAGGTGAATATGGGCTCTGATGAGTTGCTTGATGTGGCGCATAATGGAAGGGAAGGCATCTGGGAATACTCATTTCTGCTTTGGAAAACTGTGTGGATATGATGGCATTAACTGAGATGAGACAAAAGGATGGAAGCTAGCAGGCTGTCAGTGCTATTGAGGTGGGGGCACTAGGAGGTCAAGGAGATACAGAAAGAGAGATATTCATATGGGTAGCTAGAAATAGGGAGCCTGGAGCTCCAGAATGAGGTCTGAGCCGGAACAACATAGATTTGGAAGTCACCACAGATAATCAGTGAAGCCCACAGGAGGGGATGACATCACTCAGCAGACCACAGAGCATAGGGGGAGAAGACTGAGGATAAAACTCAGGGAAGCCCAGCATTGACAGGATGAGAGAGACATGTGGAAAGGTCAGAAGAGCCAGAAGGAAAGAGTTCTCAGGTTGGCCAGAGAAGTGAGATATTGACTGAAAATTGTCCAGTGAATTTGGCAACCAGATTATTGTCACCGGGGCGAGAGCATTCTCAGTGGATTAAAGGCCGTAGGACTCAGATTGCCGTGACTCGAGGGAGGTGAGGAACTGAAAACCATCAATGTGGAAAGCTTTTTGTCAAAAGGGGAGGGAAAGGGTGGGAAAGGGTGGGAGGGTACCTGGAGAGTTGAAAGAAAGTTTTTACTTTTTACTTTTTTTGTTTGTTTGTTTGTTTCTGAGATGAGTATGTTTTTAGGCTGGAAATAAAAACTGGAAATAGAAGAGAAGAGGGAGAAATTCATTAAACAGAATCCTGAAGTAAAAAACCCGCCGGGCTTAAAAGTCCAAGTGGAGACATTAGCACTGGGCAAGAGGAGGTAAGGACAGCTGTTCTGGGCACACAGCTCTCCTGTGTGAGGGGAAATCATTCCTTCTCATACTTCATAGCAAGTCTCTTAGTACTCAGCCAAGATTGAAAATCGATCAACACCTTTCTCCATTATTAAAACAACAGAAATATAAATCCTACTATCTAAATTTCTAATCCTATCTGAGTCATTTGAACTCCAATGAAATATTTTGTAAAAAATCACCAAAAACAATAGATGGACTCTCCTAGATATTGCTCCTTATGATTTCCCAGTAAAACAGGAATCCTGAGTTTGTCGATGACAGCGTTGCTAAGCGACCCTGTCACTATCTAACATTATCTACCAAAATGGCCTGACACACAAAATAACCTTATTCTAAGTGCAGACATAACTCCATACTTCATTTTGCTCTCCCCTTCTCCCCCATAAATTTGGCGGTCTTTATGAAAGGGAAAATTTGCCATCAAACGCAAGGGATAATTGTTTCCTTAACAGTGAAATTCATTTTAAGGCATTTAGCCCACAGTGCAAAAATAGTACCTGTGTGCATTCCAGAACAGAAGCCGGGGAAATGCTTGAGTTGTTAGAGTGATTTCATTTAGAAACATTCCCACCCATTGTACATTTGCATCGCGTCTGTTGCTAGAGAAAAATAGAAAAGATTTGCCTTAAAGAATTATTGATAGAATTTAAGTGTGAACATTTTTTATGAGCTTCAAGGGACTATTTTCTTGAGCACAGAACACAAGAGGGTCATAGAGAAATACAATATTTATTATTTATGTTTATATTTATTATTAACATTCTT